TCTGGCTTCTGTAATAATCTGTTAACCGCTTCCTCTCTGCTGGGCTCCGTGCTCAGCACCCTACATGCGTTACCTGTTTCAATCCTGGTAACTACTCTGCAAAGCAGGGCTTATGCCCCGCATTCCCAAGGTGAGGAAATAGAGGGCCAGGGAGACTTGTCCAAGGACACAGATCCCTTCAACATTAGTCTATGTGGCTTTTCAGTCAGCAGGCTGTTTGGGGCTCTGTTTGCAGGGGAGGGCTACTGGGCTGTCCCCTTTAAGGCTGGGTATTCTGAGCCCTGGTCCTTGGTTCTGGGGAGGGTCATGAAAAGATGCTGGATGGGGCTGCAGAAGGGCCCTAATCTTGCCCTGGGCTGGGCCTTGGGTGAGCCTGGCTGAGTCCACACACTTGCCTTATGATGGTGGGCCCACGATGAGCAGGGCTAGAGGTGGGGCCTGGGCTTACCTTGTAGGGCTGCCTCTTCTCTGCAGACTCCCGCTGGAACATTTAGTGCTGAGGACAGTAAGCAGTCTGGCCCTGGCTGACACTGGATGGCAGGGTAGGAGGGTGACAGATACCACGGTGCGGCAGAAAGGGCCCAGGTTTGGAACAAGACAGATCTGGGATTCAGCCCCCGGCCTGGAACTTCTCAGCTGGTCGACTTGGGACAGCTAGCTCACTTCTCTTCCAGGTTCTCCTGCCTCCTCCTCTTGTTTTCTTGGGGGTGCAGGAGTTGAACAGCTACCTAGGGAGGAGATTGCTTCAGAATACTATGTGAGAAGTCACAGTACGTGTGCCTCGCACATAGGAGTCGGGAAGTGTCGAAAGGAACAGTGTTGCCTAGTTCAGAGAGGTGGCCAGGGCAGTGCCCCCGAGCCTGGAAGGCCTTGCTACTCCGGAGTATCACCATATCAGGAATCCCTGAGCTGCTCTTCCAGCTCCGCCTCCGCCCCCCCACCCGCCCTGCCCCCGCCTGCCTGGGGAGCTCCCTAAGGGGAGAGGTGGGGGAGGGGCAGGCCTTCCACCCCAGGAACATTCCATTCCAGCTGCTCAGACCACTGGGGATGCCAGCCAAGGACAAAGGCTTGAGGGAAGCTCTCCTCCCCCCCTCCCACCCCCGTCCCCCCACCCCCACCCCTTCCAGGGTTGCACACTGGCCCCTGCCCCTTCTCTCCACAAAGGCCCGGCTTATGGAGGGGCTGGGGCAGGCCTTGGGAGGAGGGCTGGTGGCTATGGGAAAGCGGTCATTAAAGCTCTTGAAATTATTCTTCCCAGCTCCTCTGAGCCTCTCTGCAATGGACCTGGACGCCTGGATTCTGCTCGGTCCCGGGACACCTCCTTCAGGAAGATGCTAGGATTGGCCCTCCACCTCCTCAGCACCCTACCCACTTCCCTGGAGCCCACCCCCCACCCCCCTTTGCAGAGGCTAGGGGCTGGGGCTGGGGACTTTGTGGTAGGCATCTCCTCATGGGCCCCGTCCGAGTTTGGTGCACACTGTCCATTTGGAGATGTCACAGCACATCCCTGAAACGTGCTCAGATTAAGAGGGCAGGTGAGGAGGAACAATGTTTCTTTGGAAAACGTCATCGCCCTTAGACGAGGCTCAGTGCTGCTGGGGGTCCACACCAGTAGACATCAGTGCCTCTCGGTCTAACCGCTCTGGGGCCTGTTTGAAGGAATCGTGCTGTGAGAACTCCTTCAGCGTCCCTTGCACGTGCATGTGACTCCTGAAAGACCACAGGCTGCTGGCTCGTAGAGAGGGCACACCTCGTGCTTAGGAAGAGGTGACGGCAACCTAAACATCCCAAACAAAAGTTTTAAATGTAAAAACATATCAAATATCCTAATCATGGGGAGGAGGTAGGGGCACATTTACTCTCACTCAACCCAGAACTTGTAGCAGTCTACAAAGTGAATGTATGTGGAAGCAGCCTCTGATTTACGTGTACATACAGGAAGAATAAATTGCAATCACACGAGGCGAATGGGCGTGGCTTGGAGGTTCTCTTTGCAGAGTTCCTGTGTGTGTGTGTGTGTGTGTGTGTGTGTGTGTGTGTGTTTCTCTCGAAGGTCTTCAAGGTGGCAGCTCCTTGATCAGCTTCTCTCTTGTTCGGTGGTCTGGGCACCAGCACTGATTTGCAGACTGATTTCTAAATGGCCCTGGCTCTGACCTAACACCCTCCAGGAGGTTTTCCCTGATCAAGGGGACAATGAGGAAGACGGGTTGAGAATGTGCGGTGTGAGGCAGGGTGACACTTGCACGTGTGTGGCGCCATGATGCCCCACGTGGGATCAGATGTGACAGTGTTGGCGACTGAAGAATCTGTCATCAGCTGGGGCTCAATAGGAGACCGCACGCACAAACTGGAAATTGTCTTTAGAAGGGACTGTTTCCAAAGGGGGGGATTCCTGGTGCCGCAAACAGTTAAGCACACAGCTTCTCACCCAAAGGGTGCCAGTTCAAACATACCTTGGAGCTCCAGGGATGAGAGACCTGGCCCCTGGCTTCACAGAGAATCCAGCTTGTCATATGGGGTTGCTACCAGTCCCAAACCACTCGCTTATACCCAGAGGTGTGGGCTGCTTAGGAAACCGACAAAAACTGGCCCAGTCCCCTGGAGTTAGCAACCTTGGGAGCCTTTACAAAGTCCTAGACCATAGGCACCAGGGGGGAAAGTTTCACAGGAAACAGCGTGCAGCTGTGTAGAGAGGGCCCCAGCTAGCAACAGTGGCCTCTGGGTGAAGGATGCAGGCACCCGGGTGGGAGAAGCAGGAAGAAGAAACACCTCCTACTCCGGCGCTCAGTCTCCTCTTGGGGGTTTCTTTGGGGTCAAGCCAACAAAAGGCCAGAGAACATAGGGGTTATTGATGTGACAGAGCATAGACAGGGGTGAGCACATCACTAATTGCTTGGGGTGGGGCCGGGGATCTGCTGCCCCCTGAAGTTCTTCCTCCTCTGGGACTCCTTTTTCTTGTGGGTCCAAAGAGCTGGGTGCATTGCTGCTTGGAGAGTGCTGTGGGATTTGTGTGTGTGTGTGGGGGAGGTTAGGGGGTAAAGACTCAGCCCTCCCCTCACTGGCTCCCAGTGCCTGCTTGTCCTGGCATCTTCAGTGGTTGCAGAGATTGTCCATGAGAGAATCAGTGGTAGCCACGCAGGCAGTGTCCGCCCTCACGCTCAGAAGCACTGGATCGCACCAAACACCTCAGATCCGCTGGACATGACCACCACAGCCACGACTAGGGTCACTTATCCATCAGGGAAATAAGGGCGTGGCACACTACTGCATTCTACCTGCCCCCTCTGGTGCGCCCCCCCCTCCCCAAAACAAAACGATTATTATCAAATTAGTTCTGACTCATAGCAACCCTATGTAGGGTTAACTCTTTACCATAGCAGTGAGCCTCATCTTCTGAGGATCAGCTGGTGGGTTTGAACCACTGATCTTGGAATGAGTGGTCTGATGCTTACGCAACTGCGTCACCAGTCCTTACACTATCATCACTCTGACTCAGCGACCCTATATGGCAGGGTAGAACTGACCCTTAGGTGTTTCCGAGACTATAATTCTTTTTTTGAGACTATAATTCTTTATGGTAGTAGAAAGCCTCATCTTTATCCTGTGAGCAGCTGGTGGTTTCAAACCGCTGACCTCGTCGTTAGCAGCCCAATGTGTAACCCACTATGCCACCAGGGCTCTGATACTGCCACAGTCATCCATAAAGTGGCATGAGGAACAGTCATACAAACACGTTCCCTGTGACACGTCTGTGCTGCCGTACACGAGACACGCTCTGCACAGCCATCCGTGCGGAGTCTGGACACGCGGGTGGGGAAGAGAGCCACAGCCACAGCCCTGGGGTCGGACACGCCTGCTTGACTTCTCTGGCCTTGGTTTCTCGGTCTGGCCAAGGGGGATGATGGTGCTTGCTCTTCCTCACGGAGTCTCTGGGGTGACATGAGATCATGAGTGAGAAGTCCTTGAAGAGAGGAAGCACCGTCACTGAATTGTACACACAGACGGGACTGAATTGGTCTATGTTGTGCGATGTGTATTCTCAACAACGAAAACAACCTCAAACCACTTGACGTGGAGCAACGATGGCTGTGACGGTGAATTCTTGTCTCATGTTCTCCAACACACACACACACACACACACACACACACACACACGCCGGCCAGGCACCCTGGCCGCACATGCCCATCCTGGCAGCACACGTGCCCTCCCTAGACACGCCTGCCAGGAGCCTGTAGACACAGACAAGTTCCTCCTGCCGGGAGTGTTCTTTCTCCAGACATCCGGGTGGCTCGCTTCCCATTACCTTTGTGAATCTTTGCTTAATCAAATGACACCTCAGCGAGGCCCAGCCTGGCTTGGCACAATTGCAAACCCCAGCACCTTTTATCCCTGCCCCTGTGACATACAAGGGTGTGTTAAAAAATTATCGCTACTGAAGAATTGCCACCTTGATTAAACTATCATCATGAAACGATTGTTTCTTGACACATCTTCCATCTAAGTCTACATGCTTCTGAAGGTGGTGTTTCTGTTATGCTGACAACTGCGGTCTGCCTGACCCAAGGGGTGGCATTTGCATCCACTTCATATGCATGAGAAAGCTGGACAATGAGTAAGGAAGGCCAAGGAAGAGCTGATGCACTCGACTTATGGCGCTGGTGAAGAATCTTGACAGCACCCTGGATTACCAGAACAAACAGATCTGGTTTGCAAGGTGTGCAGCCCAACTGTTCCTTAGAAGTGAGAATGGTGTGACTTCATTTCGTGTACTGTGGAGAGGCCAGTCCCTGGACAAAGGCACCCTGCTTGGAGGGGCAGTGAACAGGAGGAAGACTGGCAAGGAAAGGATGACGCAGTGGCTGCAGCCAGGGGCTCCGTCAAACATAACCACTGAGGAGGATGCAGGGCTGGGTGGGGCTTCATTCTGCGGTGCAAAGGGTGGCCCTGAGTCAGAGCTGGGTCACCAGCACCTAATAAGAGCTCTTCCCCAAATAGTTCCCTGCTCTTTGATGTCTGCCATGTCAAAACAGCAGTTCTGGCATCTTTGAAAGACTCAACTCCTGTTCCTTTAGATGGTCTTTGAGTTTCAGAAACTCAAAGAAATTGGAAGGAGTTTCAGAACCAGAGCTGTAGGGAGACAGGGCTAAGGTTTCCCAATGAAATTCCCATAAGACAGCCCTGGCTACTCTGGAAGAATGAGCAGTTATTGTGATGGAAAAAGAAAATTCCTCAGGCCATTCTCCTGGCCTTTTCCTCATTAAGGCAGCTTTTAATCATCTTAAAATGTCTAACGAGCCCTGTGATTGTCCTGTGTCCTTTGAGTGAAGCTACCAAGATTACCTCTCTGGAAGGCCAAAAACCAGTTGCCATCACCTTCTGAGCCCTGAATTGCGCTGGCTCATGGCCTTGGAAGGCACTGATGTGATTGGCCCTCCTGTGGAAGATTCCCAGCAGAGCCTAAGACAAGCGCGCTCCGGAGAGAACGTGTCTGTCGTCATCCACTTGGCGGAGAGACTTGTTGAACATGGTTCCTTTGGCACAAACCGGTGCAAGTACGAACTGGAAACCTTAACCAAAAAGGCAGACTTTTTGATTTACCGTCATCTATAGAGCAGGGGCCCTGGTGGTGGAGTGGTTATGCATTGGAGTGCGATATGCATGGTCAGTGGTTTGAAAACACCAGGGGAAAAGCCTGGGCTTTCTACTCCCGTAAACAGTGATAGTCTTGGAAACCCACAGGGGAGTCACTATGCGTCAACACGGACTCCATGGCAGCGAATTTGTTTGTTTCCTCAATAAAGCACTGCTGACCTCCTGAGACTGGGCAGTTTGTTTATCCTTGGTCTGCCCCAGAGTGCAATCGCTACCAGGAGAGGGATTCTGTCTAGTTTTAGCACTGATGCATGCCCGAGGCCGAGAGAGTGTATGTCCCGCTGGCCACGGTGGGCCGAATGCCAGGTGGCTTCCTAAGCCAGCACAGGCAGGTGAATGTACTGCTCACCTGATGTGCTTACGGGGAGCAGCCCCCAACTCCCAGGCTCAAATGGCCAAGTCAGATGGGACCAACTTAGTTCCACCTAGGATCCTAGTTGGCTGGGCGTGGCTAGGCCTGGGTTTGGGGAACTCTTTTCAGCCACCAATACAATGTTAGTCCTTCTTCCTACTCTTCCAGAAGCGGGAGGGGCTGGGGGCACCCACAGGGATGCACTGGGCAGGTGAGGCAGCTGGCTCACCCTGGTGACTTCTCTGCAGACTTGTTTTTACCACCTTGTCTGGAACCATCAAAGTCACCACTTCAGAGGGCCCTAATGAGGCTGATCTGTTAAGGGCTTGGCAATTCCTGGATCAAAGAGGCTGGGTAAACAGTGGGCAGCGTCCAGGCTGGTGTCTGGCGGATGCCCTCAGGGAACAACTTCCAGGCAGCCTCCAGTGGCCTCTCTGGATTTGGGAAAGAGACATCTATCCTTCTAGACCTTCTTAGAGAGTCAGAGCATGCCTGGGAAGCACTTCAGTTTACCCATCAGCACTTGGGCTGAGCCCCTCCCAGGTAGAGACGCCTGATCTGGGCTCCAGCTCTGGGGGGCTCTGGAAGCCCTCCAGCTCACATCCATCCAGCTCATTCTCCTGGACAGAGCTGGGATCAAGCAGCTGGACCAGGAGCAAGGCCAGGGCCGGGCCAATACACTGAAGTACTTGCTCTTTCACCGGGGAGTCCTTGGCACTCAGTTGTCAGTAGGCTCAGAGAACCCAACACGCCCATTCAGCCCCACGCAGTGTCAAGCCGACTCGGGCTGGCGGAGGCTATAGGGGCCCCACAGCGATGGAAGGTCCTTCTTCTCCAAGGGAAAGCATGAAGCTATGCTCAGTGTAGATGAACTTTATTGGCAAGTGCTAAAAGAATGCAAAATAGTAACAAATCCAGAGGGATGGAAAAGGAGGTTGGGCATGGCTCCCAGCCCCCAAATGAGGGCCCTGTGACCTGGCCAATGTAGGGGGTGCACTCAACGGTGGCCACATTGGACCCAACACTCTGCAGGGAACAAGCTGCCTGGCAGGAGGACTCCACACAACATGGGGACAGGGAACAGCCTCCAGAAAGAGGCATGGGCGGGTCCTACCCCAGACCTAGACCTCTCAAGAGGAAGGGGCTGCAGTTCGGGATGGGGAGGGAGGGACGGGTGTGTGTGAGAGAGCACTGGACTATACCCCTCTCTCCCCAAATTCAGCTATCTGCCTGTTCCCCTCCTCCCCGTGATTGGACAGGCCCTGGGAGTGGCCCAGCTTGACCCAAAGCAAGCAGTCCCCCATACCATACCGGAATATTTTAGCTTTGTGTAGGGGCGGCAGGCCCTGGAGGAGGCTGCTGGGAGCACTGTGGGCTGGCCCTTGCCCAAACGGACCCTTTCTGTGCCATGGAAAACAACCCAAGACGCTGTGGCAGCTGCCGTTCCAAACTTAGTGTGTCTCCCCTAAGGCCAGTAGCCCAGCGTCTGTAATCATACAGTCCTTGAGTGTGGAGTGTGGTGCAATAACCGAAGGGCCCCCCGCCCCCAGGACTGTGAACCCATAGGGGCCTCCCTCCAGAAGTCTGTTCCTTCAATTGGAGACCCTACCCCGCAGCAGTGCAGGGCTGCCTGCCATTGGCTGTCTGTCTCTGGTCATGTCCTCCACACCCTCCTGGAGACCCCACCCAAGCCGGTGAGGCCCCATTCTTTCTGGCCAGAGTCTGAGTCAGTTACAAGGGAGCCACGTCGGGTAGGAGTGGGCCCGGGCCAGCAGCGGCTGCACGGGGGTCACATAGTAATTGACAGTGGCAGGCACCAGCCCGTCGGGGCCAGGCGGATGCCAGGCGAGGGCGGCGGTGGCAGCCGGGCCCTGCTTGGCCAAGGCCTGGAGCGCCAGCGTGGCGATGAGGTCGAGTGTCTGGCGGCGCTCGTGGTTCATGAGGCACACGGTGCTCTCGTTGACCACGCGGTGCAGCATCACCAGGCAGGCATAGCGGCGGGCGGCGTCGTCCCCTCCGAAGTGCGCCTCCAGGTAGCGCTCTAGCGTGCGCTGCTGCTCCGCCAGGTCCGGGAAGTCGATGAAGAAGCGCGAGCACATGTAGCGTTGCAGGGCTCGGACGTCGGTGTGGGGCTGCGGCCGGAAGCCCCGCACGAGGAGGTGGCAGTACTTGAGGAGGCCACCCCCGCGGATCTCCTCGGGGCTGCGGGTGGCGATGACCCGGTGCCGCAGGTGCTCCAGGGCCTCCGCAAAGTCCCCGTACAGGCTCTCGCCGATCACGGTCGGGTGGAAGGCCTCGGACATGGGCGCCGAGGAGCACTGGCTGAAGAGCAGCAGGGAGTCCAGCAGGATCTGGAAGGAGTCCACGCTGAACTCGAACTGGCGCCTGACCGAGTCCACGAACTTGAGCTCCACGTTCTTGCCGCTCTTGTTGGACAGGGAGATGAGGCTCCAGCTGTCCGTGTCGGTGCACACCTTCACCAGCTTCTGCACGTAGGCCTCCTTGAGCGTCAGCGGGGTGATCTTGGCCCGCCTCACGCCGGCCGGCAGGAAGTCCAGCAGGCAGGCCAGCACCACCTCCTTGATCAGCTGGAAGGACTCCTCGCTGCGCAGGTCTACACGGAACACCAGGTCCAGGTCCTTGTAGCCCAGGCCGTTCTCGGGGTGCAACACGTGGCTGGCGGCCGAGCCGTGCAGTCGCACGCTGTGCACGCACAGGCCCTGCTGTTCCAGACTGCTGCGGACGACCTGGGGTCCGGGTGGGAACAAAAGGAGGAGCAGTCAGGGGCCTGGGACGCAGGGTCTGCACAAGTCCTGTCACTCTCCAGGCCTGCATGACCTCCTTTGGAGACGGGCCCATTGGGAGGCGGGATTCAGAAAGAACAGCGCTACTAAATAGCAACTACAATGTAATATTCACAAAGCCCAAAGACAGAAACTCATGAAATACTACGAGCTCCTATGGCTCCCACTCTGCAGACAGGGACATGGAAGCACAGAGAGAGAGGCCAAGGAGCCCGCCCAAGGTCACACAGCTGGTAGATGCAGAGCTCAAAATGCAGCTCAGTGGGGTGTATGTTCTAATCCCGCTGCTAAAACTCACTGCCTCAGAGTGGATTCTGACCCTACAGAGTAGAATTGCCCCATAGGGTTTCTATGGCAGTAAATCTTTGGGGGAGGGGGGGAGATGGCTACATCCTTCTGCCACCATGTGGCTGGTGGCTTCTAATCTCCAACCCTCCAGTTAGCGGCTGAGTGCTTAACCACGGTGCCACCAGGCCTCCTTCAATCACCCTGTGAGTCCATCGACAGGTGTTGGGTCACATGCATGACCACACTGCCCCTTCCACCGCTCCGGTGTTTGATGAGCAGTGTTTCCGTTTACTTAGGGAATAGGGTTTCCATGCCTTATTAGGGGAAGACAAGGCACAGAGAAAGTAAGGAATATGCACTGGTCATAGAGCAGCCAGATTGAGACTAGAACCCAGGTCTGTTGGATTCTAAATCCAGGCCTGTTTTTTCTCTTTTTGAGCATTTAACATGTGCCCATTAAAAAATTAAAAATGAACCTTTATTTATTTTTGCTTCCCCCTCTCTTCCCTTCTCTCCTTCTCCAATCCCCTTCCCTATAACCATCCAAGTCTATCTCTTGGTAAGAAAACCTTTTTTTAAATCAACCTTGTTCTTTTTTATAACTGTGCTCTCACACCGTATTTGGCTTTCTGTGATTGACTGACTTCTCTCCGCATAACATCCTCCAAATCCATTGCGCCATGGGGAGGGGGTTCACAGTTCCTGCATCTTCTTTAGTGGTGCATAGTATTCCATGGTGTTATACCCAAGAGTATTTGTCCTTTCCTCTTTCTGCTGTTTCCGTCTTCCTGCTATTGTGAATAGTGCTGCAGTCAACATGGGTGTGTGTCTGTGTCTGTGTGTCCCTCCTTGTTTCTTTAGGGGCTATGCAGAGGAGAGAGACTCTGGGGCATACGGGAATCTGTGCTCATTTGTTTGAGGAAGCACTACACTACTTTCCACGGTGGTTGTGCAGTTTCACGGTCCCACCAGCAGCAAATGCAGGTTTCCATTTTTCCATATCCACTGCAGCATTTATTATTTTCTAGGTTGTTGCTCTTTCTTTGAACTTTGCTATTAGTGCCAGTATGAGGTAGTATCCCGTCCTTAGATCAATTGGCCTCTCTCCAGCCACACCTGCCCTTTTGAGTGTGACACACTGACCCTTAGAAAGATCCACACAATACACCATTGTACTCATCTTACAAATAAAAAATTGAGGCTTCTGGTAGTGAAAAACCCAAGGTTTATAGTGAAAACTGCTCAGAAAGAGCAGGACTGAAAGTTAAAAACAGTTTCTGCCCATTCTTGGGACAGAGGATGGGTCAAGTCCTTGGGCTGTCGCCGTCGGAGCCAGGACTGACTTTGTCTCTGTCCTCAAACATCCCCCAGACCTGAGAACACAGGAACAGGACAGGCACACTACCACCACGTAACCTTGAACCTGTTCCTTTTAGCCAGAGACACCAAGTGGGGAAAAGAGTGAATGCAACTGAGGCTGGCTATTCCGTTTTCTAGGTAACCCAAAATCCTTCACACTCCGCTCTGCTCTGTGCTGAAAGTGACCAGGCAGCATTCCGACCCCAGCAGCAATGCTACCCCGCCTTGCTGCCAGCTCAGTGCCAGGCCAAGCTGTCCTCCTCGCCTGGCAGGGAATTACTGCAAAGAATGCACTAAAGTGCTGAGGAGGCAAGCCGAGAGTGGGGCAATCTGAGGCGGGCGGTGCCCTCTAGGAAGGCTTCCGGGAAGTGAGGGGAGGACCCTGTCCAGGGGAAGGTATCCGCAGGACTACAGGGGAAACAATTGACCATCAGAGACTTGGACAGGGGGTGGGGGGCAGGTAGGGCGTTAATAGTTGCTGGGTACCCACTAGTTGCTGGCACTGGACCGTCCGAGCTCAGCACAGGGGGCTTCAAGCTCAGGCACTTTCTTGTACCGCACAGGGCCAGGGTTCAGAAGCGGCAGGGACAGGAAATTACGGGTCTAATCCTCTCTTCCTTTCAAAACTTCAAAGTGAAAGCAACTTTTAAGTCTCAGACACCCGAAACTAGAGCAGTCGGGGAGCGGGGAGATCGGAGTTGAGGGTGTCTTGGTCAGACATCCAGAGGAGGTGGCGATAAAGGGTTAATTATGGTCTGACTCATGCCATGCAGGCTAGAGAGAGAAGTGGCCCAAAGATCTTGGCCCAAGGACTCTGCTAGGCCTGCAGAACAGAGCATCCCCCTCCCTAAGTGCCCACAGAGCTGAGTCAGACTCCGTGCCAAGCCTGCTCCCAACTGATGCCCACCTGAGGGCATGGCATCTGGTCTGGTGACTAGGTAGCAGTACACTTGTTAAATCCCCTGCGTCAGGGCCATGGGACTGGCTGTGTCAGCCAGCCAGCGGCTGTTGTCTATTTCTCAGGGGTGACTCCAGCCAGCTTGGCAGGCAGTTCCCAGATACCACCACACCCAGGAGCTGCAGGGCAGCTTGAAACCTCCTGAATCACTTGCCAGCCAGGTAGGGGGCAGTGCCCTGTGCCCTCCCTTCTCCTGTACCAAGGCCCTTCCCAGAGCCACTCTTCCCAGGCCAGCTGCTCAGACCTGCAGGGGGATTATAGGCGTTGTCAGCCAGCAGGCTTGCAAAAATCACATCTAGAGTTGCCTAATGCAGACCTCGGGCTGCAATTGGAGAGGTCTGGAATCTCTGGATTCAGTCACCTGGACCTAGCGAGGGCAAGGGACTTGTCCAAGGTCACACTGACAATCGGCATCAGAACGAAACCAGGCCTTTCTGGGCCCCAGGCTGGGTGGGGGTGGGGGTGGGCGAGGGAGGGGGAGTACTCCTTATAGCAGGCGAGCCCCTTCAGCCTGGCTACAAGTGAAAGAACAGCAGCTCTAGAGGCGCATGCTGCTGGAGTAGAAATCTGTGGGCACAGAGGGCACGGAGACAGTTCTAATTCTTGAGCAGGGAGCCAACTCAGGCTGACGAGAAGCCCAAAGGCAACCACCAGGGCATCTCCAACTCCAGCTTGCTGCCCGAAATTGTTTGTACCCTCCTCTGCCCCGTCCTCCCCATGTCTGGAGGCAGCTTTGCAAGGCAGGCCTGCTGCTTTTGGATTCTGGAACTAGACAGGACACTGGAGAGCAGTCTAACCTATCTCCTCATTGAAATAATGGCCACCCTGGGCCCGGACAATGGAAACGACCTCAGGCCAGTCCCTGACCCTCCTAGTCTAGCTCAGAAGGTTGCCACCCTCCCTTCACTGCCAACAGCTCCTTGCCCTGTGATACCTCTGGCCCTGGGACACAGTACTGCAATCGAATGCCAAGTCGGCTCTTATTGGTCTGAAGACTCTCCCACCAGGCAGTGTCTAGAGGGCAGGGAGGTCTGATGTCGCAGTGGTTAAGCACTTCACTGCTAACCATAAAGTCAGTGGGCTGAACGCACGAGTCGCTCCAAAGGAGAAAGATGAGGCAGTCTGCATCCATAAAAGCTTACAGCCTTGGGAACCCAATGGGGGAATTTCTAGGCTGTCCTATAGGAATGGTATATGAGTCAGAATTGACTGAAAGGCGGTTGGGTTAGTACCTTGAACAGGACCTGGCACAGAGCAGGGCCTATCTGTTATAAAAGCAGTGTGGACCAAACTCCCAGGGGCAGGAATGTCCCCTCCTGTGTGCTCCTTATCCCTGCATATTGGGCCCCACCACCCCACCTCCTATGTTTGGGTGCCACATTCCTGGGCCCTGAAGTTCTATGACTGTATGACAGTCCTCAGAAGAAAAGCCTGAACTAGTTTCCTGGTCAGCCAGATCACAGCGGGCAGCTCAGGAATGCCTCATTAAGCACCACTGGGGCTTCTGGTGAGTCAGCCCTGGAGAATCTGCCCCCACCCCCTCCCATTCCTGGGGGGGAGGGTGAGGTAATCCCCTAGCAAGCACCCTGCTTGCCCCCTCTGTCAGAAGCTAGAGCAGGAGGAGGCACGAGGGTAACAGGCTTCACCTAGCTGGCGCAGGTGCCTTCCGGAAAGAAAGCAGGAATTATGGCTGGATTTTCTGGTTCCTTCCATCTGGGGGCTCCCCCAAAGTTGAAAAGTCTGACATTGAGCCTTGGGAGCTGGGGAAAGGGCACAAACACCTGGAACCCACAGTAGCCTGCTCCTAGAATGACCCACGATTTCCTGGGTTTAATGTTCAATTCATTGGGTCCTATTAGGTAGCCCCTCAGTTTCTCCAGCTATAAAATGGGTACAGTAATTCCCCCACCGTGGCATTTTAGGACATGAGCTTGCCAAAAAGAGATGGAAAAACACATTTTGGAGAGTGGAGGGCCAGGTAAAAGAAAGAGTTGAATGAGGAAGGGCAGAGGGGCTGCCAGAATTCTCTGTCTCCGGCTTGGGGCCCCAAGAGGTTGGCAGCCCCTCTCTCTTCCAATTCTGGGGAAGAGGGAGGGGACACAGCAAAGGAACACCTCAAGTTGCCCTGGGGGCTGGAGACCAAAGGTC